ACGATGCTAGGGTGAACCCACTAGCTCACAGGAAAAAATGAGCCCAACGGCCCAGATTGAATCTGAGTCGATTTGACCATCACGGATGTCTGGTAGTGTTTGAATTTTAATGTTTTTTTTATAAATCCAAATCACTTGAAATTTGGATTGTATGTACATAAAAAATAGGTGAATCTTTGAAAAATATCAAAACAATATTTTACATGAAATAAATTGGCCAAAATACCCCCAAAATGTTTCAAAGTTATTTTGGTCATTTTTTGGTGAATTAAAATTTATTATTATTATTATTAGGTGCGGCTTGATGATAAGAACATGCATCTAAAATTTAAAATCATTTAGATTTTTAAAAATAAAATTAAAATTTTACTACTACCAGACATCCGTGTTCGTCAGATCGGCCCAGATTCAATATAGGTCGTTGGGCTTGTACTATTCTATGAGCTAGTGGGCTCACCCAAGATTTTTTCATATATATATATATATATAGGTGCGGTTTATATAGAGCCTAGACCCTAAATAATCAAATTAGAGCATACCTTCAAATAGTGTCGAGAAATGTGGTTTCAAAAGTGGAAATCTGTGTAATAGCCTTAAAATATACTTTTATATTTATATATAAAACTTAAAGCGTCAAAAATATTGTAGATCGACGTGTCTATGAAAACTTGAAAAACTTGAAAACTGATGTTCCAAAAATGTGTTACAAAATACACTATTTTCAAATGTTCAAATCCTTTTTTTTCTCATGTCCATGGATCTTGATGTCGAGATGATCAATTTGAATTTATTTGTACATCAGAAAATCCTCATCTAGTGAATTATTTTAGGTATGTTCTAATTTGGTTGTTTCGAGCCTCGGCTATATATATAGAAAAGGTTTATATAAGGTTACCACTTTAAAATGTAGAAATAAAGATGCACCTCAAAAATCCATCAGAAAAGGTTGTTTTAATGTCGAAAACCCTCTAAGTGATCATCTCGACATCAACGTGTATGAATAAAAACAAAAAAAAAAAAAGATTTTGAGTCCCAAATTTAGTGCATCTTGCAACACTTTATATAGACCGTCCATTTTCAAGATTTTCATATGTTTATATATGAATTTGATTTTAACCAATTTTGGAGTTAAAAAGTTTATAATTAGATATGAAAATAGATTTTTAGATAAGGATGCGGTTTGTATAGAGCCTAGGCTCTAAACAATCAAATTGGATCTTACCTTCAAATAGTGTCGAGAAGTGTGGTTTCACTACCGGAAATCTTTGTAATAGCCTTAAAATATATTTTTATATTTATTTATAAAGTTTAAAGCTTAAAAAATAGTATAGATCAACAAACCTATGAAAACTTGAAAATCTTGAAAATTGACGGTAAAAAAATGCGTTACAAAATGCACTATTTCCAAAACTCGAAATCCAATTTATTCTCATGTCCATGCATCTTGATGTCGAGATGATCAATTTGAAGATATTTGGGCATCAAAACAACATCTTCTAGTGAAATTTTTGATGTAGGCTCAAATTTGATTGTTTATAGCCTCAACTCTCTATAAACTTTTCCCTTTAGATAATCCTAATAATTTTTTACAATAAGATTACATGTTAAGATAAAATTTGGTGGGACGCTTTAATTGGATTGTTTAAGGTTGCAACCTTATAGAAACCACAACCATATGTATGTATGCATGTATGTATGTATGTATACATGTATATGTGTATATGTATATATGTATGTATGTATGTATGTATGTATACATATATAGAAAAAGATTTCTTAAGCTACTAGCTATAATGAAGAGTATATGCTACTAACTCCCAGCCGTCAAATCTTCATCAGGTAGATCAAAATTCATATCACTATTAATTTTAAGATGAAAATTTGGGTCTACATACCTAACACTATTGCTTACCATATAAAAATATAAGAAAATTAGTTTCAATAATTTAAAATGACCAAATTAACCCCATCATTTTCAGGGTATTCAAGCCATTTTATATTTTAGGAATAATTTTTATATATTGTTTAGTACACATGTCCAAAATTTCATTATGATTTGATTTTTGAAAAAAAAATTCAAAATCAAATAGTGATAGAAAATTTGAACTACCCAATAGCGATCTGATGGCAGGGAGCTAGTAGCTTATGTTATTCATTATAGCTAGTAGCTTATACTTTTCAAAACAACTTCTTTTAGTGAAATTTTTGAGGTAGGCTCGAATTTGAATGTTTAGAGCCTAGGCTCTATATGAACTTATATATATATATATATAAGTAAACCTTAAAATAACTGCACAGTTATAATGAATAGTAATATAAGTGGAATCCCAGCCGTCAGATCTTCATCATGTTGTTTATAATGCATATCATTATATGAATTTTAATATTTTTTTTAGAAATCGGATCATAATAAAATTTGTGCGTACTAAAAAATAGGGTGCACAATAAAAAAATATATAAAAAATATTTTCAAAAATATAAAATGATCGAAATATCCCTGAAAAATGTCGGGGGTAATTTGGTCATTTTTAAATATTGAAAATAATATTTTTATATTTTTATATGGTGCACAATAGTATTATATATATATACCCAAAATTTCATATTAGTCATATTTATAAAAAAAATTAAAATTTATATGGAGATATATTTTGAATCACTCGATGAATATCTGACGGCTGAGATTCCACCTATATTACTATTCATTATTGTTTATAGCTGCCCAGCTATTGTTAGCTTTCTTCTGTATATATATCAAAACAAGTAAACTAAGCTATTGTTAGTTCTTACATGGAAAACCTCCAAATCGATCATCTCCACTTTGACCATTATGGTTGTAAAAATAAATAGGATTTCAAACCTTAAAAATCATGATATCATAATAATACCTGATCCTGATCATCTATTTTGTCATAAAAATGAGTGTTCACATATCCGTAAAATCTATATCATTTTTTAATTTATAGTCAGTGTTGAAAATAGATTTTAAAACATCATGGAGATGTTTGATGCCCAAATGAAGATTCGATGTGAGGCTTTATTTTGTTTTTCCTAAAGTCATGGCTTTATAGAAAATGTATCATATATATGTAGGCCACTAATCAAATTTTTTTACATGAAAAAATGATCCCATGGTCATCTTGTCTCATATCTTTGGGTTATCTTGCCTCAGATTTTAACGGCATCTTTTTGCTAAATTTTCTTATGTCGATAATCCTCATAATGCACACCTACGAAATTTTTTATGAAAATAATTTAATAGAAATAAATGTCAAAAACTCCTACATTATTCAGGAGTATTTTGGTATTTTTATTATTTTGAAAAACAAATATACATATAATATGGTGAACAACATGAGCAAAACATATTTGAGCTTAATCCAATATTTTGAAAAACATAAAGTTAATGTATGCTATTGGAAGATGGGATTGAGGGTAAAATATAAAATATATAGAATTATTTTTTGCATTCCAAAAACATTATTGAATTTTTTGATATTTTTTTCCTTCTGTTTTGGGCACAAGACCTGCTCATTAAAGACCATTTCTTTATTATTTATTAAGTTTTTTATCTTCTCCATATTTTATTAATCTTCTTAAAGTTTGAATAAAACAAAAGAAAATATATAATGAGACCATTTACTTTTAGAACAAGGTTGTCACATTTAATCTTGACCATTGTATGTGAAATCGGGTGGCGGCATTTATGCTATTGACGAAGTTTAAAGTTTAAAAGATATTTTCTCTAACTTTGAAACACACTCAAGCTATCAGATTTCACGTCAAATGATTGTACGTAATTGTGACCTCTCTATACAAAACGTAAATGCTCTCATTATATACAATCCCATAAAATAAATATTATATTTTTAAAAAGAGTGATGATTCTAATTTGTCATGGTATAAATCATTGGGCTGGAATATTAAGTAAAAGAAATATGAAAAACATTTGAGAAATTGGGAAATATCTTGGGGATTTAGGAATGGGAGTATGGAAAGAGAGAGAGCGAGAGAGAGAGAGGACACGATTTTAAGAAGGCCATTTACAAAATAACACGGTTTATGTGATTCCATGTCGAAATGAGTCACTTTTTAAAAATTTATTTCTGAGATAGTTTTTTGGACTGAATTTTTAAAGACATATATTCTCTAACATGGAGATCAAGATTTGAAGAACTAAATAAATTTTAAAAATTAAAAATAATAATTACATTAAAAAAATATATGGATTATTAGTTTCAATTATTTTTAGATGGACCACCTATTTGCATCCATGTTTAAGATGGATGCTTTATACCTTAGGACTAGAAATGCGTTCCAGCCCACATGAAACAATTTTCTTTTACAAAAATATCCTCTATAGTTTTGTAATTTCAAATTTTTTTATATTTTATATTGTATGCTTATTCCCCATTTTAAAGAGCATATCTAAGATCTCAATTTTATCTTTTTTTGTGTATATTGAATTGAGCTCAATTTAATCTCAAGAGAGTTGAAGGGAAGGATTAAAATATTAAAAAAATAAAAATCAGACATTATTTATGGGTGTGGTTTCTACAAGGTTGCATCCTTAAACAATCCAATTAAGGTGCATCTCCAAATTTATCATAACACGTAATTTTGGTGTAATTTTTTTTTTTAAGATTATCTGAAAATCTATTTTCATATCTTATTATAAATTTTAAATTCCAAAAATCATTAAAATCAAGTAGATCTATAAACATATGAAATCTTGAAAATGGATAGTCTAGATAATGTTTTAAATCTGACTATTTTTTAGACTCAAAATATTTTATTTTTTCATATGCATACATCTCGATGTCGAGATGATCAACTAGAGGGGTTTTCAACATCAAAACAAAATTTTTTGATGGACTTTTTAGGTGCATCTTTAATTCTATATTTTAAGGTTGCAACCTTGTGTAATTTTTTTTCCTTTATTTATTATCCTTAACTATGTTGTTACAAACATGCCCTTACTCTCCATCTTTGTGGAGCAGGGAAAGTATGATCATGCTTTATCACGGGAGTGCCTTTATGATGACCTAAGCATGCCTATGTCCGATATGTCCGACTTTGCTCGTGATGGTCGAGGCCCCTTTTACAAGGTAAATTAAGAATGAGTATGTGTTTTGAATATCTGAACAACAATTATTTCATACGGCTGGATCGCATTTTAATAATATACAGTCCAGAACTATAGAGCATCCATCTTTAAGATGGATGCAAATAGGTGGTCCATTTAAAAATAATTGAAATTAATGGTCCAAATGTTTCTTTATATAATTATTATTTTTAATTTTTAAAATTTATTTATTTTTTCATATTCATGTTCTCCATGTTTATATATTATCTAAAAGTTAAGATCAAATCATATTTAAAATATATATTTATTGTCAAGTCCGCATTTCTACGTGTGCAAGCTTGGCCACATGCTAGCTGTGTCGATATTCTCCAATAAATTCATACGGATCAGCCGATCCTGTGAGCTCAAAAATATTTAAATACTAATTTCTATGGATTAGCATTGCTCTGTCCTAGATGATTGTATCTTCTAACAAAACCGTCAAAATCTTTGATAGAAAAGGTGATTCTCACTGAATAATACCAACTCATACTAATGTGTAAATAATACCAACTCATACTTATGTCTAAGTAGTGTTTGGTACAAAAATGTTTTGAAAATCTAACAGTAGTACGCCCCCCAATATACCTCGAAAACTGGTTTGGAAATCTAGATAACGTACATTCAAGTTTAGAGAAATTTATACACGGACAAGAAAAAAGATGTGCGGTCTTTGAGTATCTTGAGAGATATGACATTGAGGTCTTACTTTTGTTATATATATTTTTTATCTTTTTTGAAATTATACTTTTCTTTTTTTTTTTTAATCCGATTTTACCCTAGACTTGAAATTTGAACTTTCAAATCCCTCAAAACACCGAGAAAACTGATATATTTAGGTGGTTTCAAATGCAACTTTTGAACCCCTGCAAATACAGCTTTTTGCGCTTCAAAAGCTCAATTTTGAAATGTACCAAAAAAAAAAAAAAAACAAAGGAAAGAAAAAACAACAAATTTGCTCAAAAAATCGGGCTTTCGAACTAGGTAGTACTCAGTTCTCTCTCTCTTTTGTTTCCTTTGTTCAAAACATGGAATTTCAAACAACTGAAATGCATTAGTATTTTATTAATTTATTTTTATTTTATGGCTATAAATTGGACTTTTGAACTGCATAAATACGACCTATCAAAAGTTGGACTTTTGAACTGTACAAATATATCTATTTTTTTTTTTGTCTTGGTTAGTTCGAGAGTTAGACTTGCAAACTAAGGGTCAAGAAGAAATAGCTGAAAAAGTAAACCTCAATATAATATGTCCCAATATATAAACAATGTGATTATGCTACATCTCTTTCAATGTGATTTACTCGCTTCGATGTATCCAAGTCGTGGTGGTAGCACAACTTATGCCCCAGCTAGGGTCTAGGTATCTATTTTCACCTAAAGCATTCAAAAACCACTAACGGTTTAAAAAACAGGTAGGGGCTTATCATCACCCTAAAAAAATATATATCATAGGCCAATTGCAATAGTTATTGTGCCATAACCACAAAGTGCTGTCCAAGAATAAGGACATATTGAATTGACATATAAAAAATAAATGGGCATCACTTTAAACTAAAAACATAATTTTTACCATGATTTTTAGATGTATCCGGCACAGATTAGTTAGTATTTTTTTGCCAAAATTATGTTTTCATCTTTTTATTTTTTAGAGTTCAAATTGTAAATTGTTTTTTTTTTTTGTTAATCCATGATTTCTCTGCCTTTTTATGTTTTAACCTTTTTTAAGGTGCTTCACGTTTGAAATTACTTTTAATAAATTTTAAATTTCTATTATTTTTTCTATTTTATAAAGGCCTTTTGGCCTTGTGCTGTACTACACCGAGTCCTAAGAACTCGGGCAAATAATTTGCCTCAGCCTTGGGGGACACGTTGCCTGGTTGAGACAATGTTCTGTACATTGGAATGATTTATGAATTTTTCGTAGCAGAATGTATTCATTTCTTATTTGTTTTCAACAATTCTAGAGGCTTGCTTTAGTAAATTAACAATTCTAGAGGCTTACTTTCTAATTTACTAAAGCATTATTTGATACACTGGTTATTGTAAATGCAGGCAATTCTTTTCCTCTTATTGGGAAAAGAAAGAGAGACTGCAAAGAAGTTTTACACAACATTTAGGAAGAGCATAACACCACCTAGATGGCCTATAAAAGGGATACCGCAGAGTCAGAGGGATATAAAAGGACCACCACCATTTCCTAGTCCGGGGAAACAACCGTGTCAAATTGATGAAGATTTCAAGGAATTTGAAATAGCAGTGGAGCAGTTGAAAAAGGAGATCGGGAAGTGTAAGGGAATTTAAGGCTCTTGCCACTCATTATAGAAGCACTCCATGAAATTAAGTGAATTCAAATTTGTGCTATCATTAGATTGAATAAAGAAGGTTCTACTCTTTCACTTGTATGGCACCCTACAAAGGAATTGCTCCTTGTGCTTCATTTCATAGATTATTACACCTTCGAGTAAAATATTTAGCTAAATGTTTAGCTAAGGAAAGGGGTCCTTACTTGTGGTAGGAATAGAACTCATAACATTACATTGTAGCGTCCCACTATCTCAACCACCTAGGCTAAATTTGATGTAGACCTAGTAACAGTAAATTTGATATGAAAATTAAGTGTTGGCTCCGAATGCAATCTAAATAGACAAGTGAATTAAGCGCGCATCATTAGCAAAAAGTTTATGCTATAGAAATTGGAAATCAAATAACAATTGTATTGTGATATCTTTCTCGAATGTGAGCTTTTTCACGTGTAAACAAAAGGTCCCTATGGGAGAAAGAATGTCTTATTATTTGGTTTGTATGAAATAGATTGACAGGACAATTGTTTACATGAAAATATTTATAGATGCAAACAATATAGAGGGAAAAATTACAAGAACATGGTTTTTCCCATGTTTGATACACACTTGGAAATAGGCGCAGAGAGAGAGAGCAATACACTAGTTCATTTGATTGGTATGGACTGAAATGCCTTTCACTGAACTTCCAAACTAAACAGAACGTTGGAAATTCTTTATAGTTACAATTGATCTTAGGTAAAACAGGAACTCAATCGGGTGAGATTGAAATCTTGTCTGACATGTCCGACAGGTTGCAATCTCTTTAAATATTTTGAAATAGTTCTCTTTAATGTGATTTCTCTAATTCAAAATTTTAAGCCAGTTTCTTTCTTTAATATTTAAATTTTGAGATAGTTTCTCTTTTCAAAATTTTGATATACTTTCTCTCCCAAAATATTTAAAATTTGAAATAGCTTCACTCTGTAAGAACTTTGAGATGGTTTGTCTCTTTAAATTTTTTAAAATAGTTTATATTGAAACCGTGTACACCCAAATCCCTTACACGGTGGACCGTCAATGGAAATCCCTTATTTTGGCTAATTAATTTTGTAGAATATATTTATGATATATTTAAGAGATATTTGGGGAATCAGTTTCTAATTTATTGGAATTTTGTATCATATGTATAATATTTGGTGAGTAAAATAATGAACACAGCTGAATAGCCATTCAACCGTGGATGTAGGTCCAAGAGACCAAATCACGTAAAACAATATCTTTTTCTTCTTTTTTCTCTTGCTCTCTCCTTGACTCTTCATCTAAATTTTTTCAACATGGTATCAAAGCAATGATACATCTGTCATTAGGCTCTTTTTTCTACAAAGTGGTCCGCTGCATCAAACCATTTTGCTACCCATAGAACTCAAACATAGTAGTGACAATTCTTGTTGTGATTAAGTTCATCAAAAGATGCTTGCTGTCCTCAGCTTTCGTCCACTGCTGTTGTCAATTCTTTGTGCAACTAGTTGCATCGAAGTCACCTTTATTCACGGACGTTGTTGTCCACAGCTGCTGCCCATTTCCTTTGCCTGAAATTAAGTATTTTCTAAATCTTTTTCTTCTAAATGGGGGTTCAAAATTCTGGTTCAAACATTGTAGTGCATGAGGGCAAAAACTCAAATCTGAAAATTACTTCCATGATTCTTAATGGAATCAATTATAAAACTTGGTCTAGAGCTGTAACCATGTATTGCAACAACAAATATATGTTGGGTTTTATGAATGGAAAAAAAACAACTCCAATAGCTGATGATCCTACTTATGGAGTGGGAGTCTTGAGACAACCTCGTTAGGTCATGGCTTATAAAATCAATGGGAACACGACTTGGTATAGGGATGTATTTCAAGCCTAATACTGAAAAATTGTGGAAGTCACTTAAAGAGATTTATGGAGAAAAAAATAATACAACCAGGATTTTCCAACACAAATAAGATATTTGCCAAACAAGGAAAACCATTTAATGAATACATTGGAATGCTTGGAGGCATGTGGGATGAGTTGTTCCAATACACTCTCATAACTACTGCTATAAATAGCAGAATAAGAGAAATCAAACAAAATAAAACATTTTCTATGTTGGCAGGCTTTGCTCATGAGAATGAATCTATAAATGACACTATCTAGAAATAATAAACTAGGCGTAAGGTTATGAACCCTGCCATTAAAAAGGAGGATCTTAATGACAGAATTGAGAAATCAGCTTTTCTTATTGAGTCTCAATAACTGAAAAAATTACCCCTACTGATGACAAATTTGAGAATATTGGTCATGGTCATGGTCGTGATCGACCTAAGTGCACTCATTACAAAAAGTGGGGACACATTAAAGAACGATGTTGGGATCTCCATGGAAAATCCCCTGGTAGAGAAAACCTGTTACTTAAGCTGTTCAAAGTGAGATGCTCCTCTCTATTGACAAGCTAAAAGAGTTACTTCAACAAATTAGGAAGGCAAACATTGCTTTCTCTTCTGAGATACCACCTACTACACAATGTAATTTTTCTATTCATCTATCCTCTACTAATTGTCATACCTAGATCGTTGATAATGGAGCTACATATCATATGACTGGCCATTTTAAAAGACTCGGAGGGTTTAAACAAACGTCTTCAAGGAGTCTTGTGTCATTGGCCAATAGGACTATTGTATCAGTTTTTGGAAAAAAAAATATTAAAATCTTTTCTAAAGATAAGTTATTCAAAGTTTTATATATCCCTTCAGTCCCTTCAAATCTATTGTCAATTAATAAAATCACAAAGCCTATAATTGGTGGTCTATTTTTTCTGACAATGTTGTTTTTCAGGATCAGGTATCTAGGAAGAAGATTGGTGAGGGTAAACAATCACATGGGCTATACTTATTGGATCAAACCTCTAAATAATTTTTTACAAGACAAGTGCAATCTGATGACAATACATGACATTACAGATCGAGACATCCATCTGATAGAATTATGAAGCAGGTGGTCTCTAGTATCAATTCATCATTTGCATCTTGTGAGGTCCGTCGATATGATTCGTATTTCAAAATTATGATAGAATCAAATAACTTTGATATTATTCATTTGGACTTATTTGGACCTACTCCAATTGATTATTTTTCTGGTTTTAGATATGTGATTTCTTTTATCGATGATAGAACTCGTTGTGTTTGGATTTATCTATTGAAGTTCAAGAGTGCTGCCTTCATTGCCTTTAACGAATTCCATGCCATGATAAAAAACTAATTTGATGCTAAGGTGAAAATTTTCAGAACTGATGATGGCACAAAATACATAAATAAATTATTTTCTTCATATTTGATTGATCATATTTGATTGATCATTCACCAAATATTATGTGTAGAAACTCAGCAAAAAGAAAGTATCTTCTTGAAGTAAATGTTCCTAAATCACAAGTCTGAGGGAATTCTTACTACATTTCTTCTTATAATCGACTGCTGACTAGAATGTTACATAATAGAAGCCCCTATGAAATGTTGCACGACTATCCTCCTACTATTCATCATTTAAAGATATGTGGTTGTGAATGCTTGGGCGCTCTGAAAAGTACGATGCTTTAGATGTTTTGAAAAAGTTTAAACAAACATTAGGCTCAAAACAAAAAACCAGAGGACATCAAATTTAGGGCTAAATTTGCCCGTGCATTCCATATTAGAAACACATGTTTTATATTATATATTGGGAATTGAACAATTCTAGAAGTTTAATCCTCTGTTAATATTTACATCGGTTAAAGAAAAGGAAAGTGAGCCGAATACTTTTGATTCTGGCATTGAAACCTTAACAATCGTTTCTAAGGAAGGAATATATACAGATATATTAAAAGAGAAAAGAAAATATCAAAGGCACATTGCCCCATATACCTGTGGGTGTACGTAGGGGTAATGTCCTTCAAGTCTGGTCTTCTTAAGAGAACAAGTCTCAAGTGGATCGTAGAAGATGATTATCTCTCTCTTCATGTCCTGAATATCTCACTCTCTTTTCCCACACTTAATTCTTACCTAGGTAAAATTCTGCAAGGATGATTATCTCAGCTAAAATGTGTCTATCAAAATGTGTGAACCCCTCTTCAATCGAGAGATCCCCTTTTATAAGGGCAAGTTATAGTTTTAAGGGAAAACCTTGCATTTACCATCTTTGAATCTTCACCCTTCATCTTCATCTTGAGCTTATACTTTCTTTTAAATCATTAAATTTGCAGGGCGTACTTCTTATCTTTACAGGCTTGTTTATCTTTCATGTTTATTTTTTCACGCTGATTTGAATTATTGATAATCTCATTGTTTAAGTTGTTCATGTCAGTATCTCTTGATGATAATCACTCTTTTTAACCGATACTGATTTTGATATTCGAACCTCGGACTTGGTCATAATTTTCGCAGGAGCAAAATCAGGAATTCATCACTAATGTCAATGGATTGCAACCACTTATGTTGTTCAAATTAACTCATGCTATACCTTTTAAGGGTGATGAAGCAATGAGCCAAGAATCCAATAGTTCTGATTTCATAAGAAAACCCCTTTGTATCAAGGAAGAAAGCCCCAATAGATAACCACATGTCGCACGGTGCATAAGGCTTTTAAAGCCTTAATTGCGGGCGATGAGGATGATGGGTTAAGCCATCTCCGAAAGGCTTTTAACTATCGAGATATGGTGATAATGGGTTAAGCCATCTCCATACGGCTTTTAACTGTTAGGATATGAGGATGATGGCTTAAGTCATCTTCGAATGGCTTTTAACTGTCGGGATATGAGCACGAGAGGTTAAGCCATCTCAGAACGATTTTTAGTTGTCGAGATATAAGGATGAAGAGTAATGCCATCGCCCAACAACCTTTAACTGCCGGGGTAGGAGGATTATGAGTTAAGCCATCTACGAACCACTTTTAACTATCGGAGTATGGGGATGATGAATTAAGCCTTCTCTGATTGATATGAAACTTCAGGGGGAGGGTTATAATGCCTCAAACATAGATCCCTGAGACTCCTGACTTGATTTTAGAACATGAAGTTCTAGGGTGTCAGTCAAGGCATATCTTAAACTGACGTTAGATACGT